TGATAGCACTCGTGTAGCTTTGCGCAAAATTCAAAAACAAACAAACAATACAAAATGACATGTATAAAAATGTAACGTGTGATAAGTTGAATTTGTTATATCTTAACCCTTGGATACTGTAATCGGATTTATCCGACTTGACATTTTTAGCCGTTTGGTGTGACAAGTGGATTTACCCCACAGTGTCACAAAAACTTTTCCTCATAGTGCGACAGTCGGGATGTTCCCACGTCCTTGAATTTCCTGCCTTGGTACCGTGTGTGTGTGTGTACATCACCGAGCAAAAGTACACATATAGTGGATTTTGATATTGAAAAAAGTGCTAAAAAAGGTGAAATTCTAAATTTGACTTGTTTGTGGATAACTGACACTTTTTGAGAACACCACTCGAAATTTAATTATGCACTCAAAGGGTTAAAACTATTTAGTTTCTAAACACACTCTTCAGTAGTATGTGATTACAGCATGATCTTCCTGTTAAAATATTTAAAAAATCAACTATCTTAACTAATAGGAAGTTTTTAATCGAGGCTCATGTTATGAGCTTCATATAGCAGTTTGGAGTCTTAACCCTAATTTTACCTTTCCTTAATCATTATAAAAATATTGTTTCTCAAATCATGGAATTAATTTGTGTTATTGAATTTTTAATTACTAGGGCAGATTAATACAAATAATATACCACCATTCCAAGAACTTTGACATGCTGTAACAATGTTCAGCATATAGGAGAAACTTAATCTAAAAGTATTTAGTAGCATCACCAGTTTTGTATTTTATGGCAAATTTGTTTTTATTTCTTATGAAGAAGATCATGAATTCAAGGACTAGTAAACTGATGAACAGTATTAGCTTCTATTTTATAATGTTATCCTTAATAATATTTTAAACTTTTCTAGGTTCGATGCAAGCATAGATATATATGTTGGCTGAATGTTTAAAAAAAAACAATTGATGTTATAGTGTAAGCTTGTTTTCTAACAACACTTGGCTGTGTCATTGTGACAGTTTTTCATTGTCGTTTTGTTTATCATAGTGAAAATGGAGGTTGTTGTTTTTTTTGAAGAACGTATGTATTATTAGTATAGTTATATAGAAAACGTTTGTGGTGGAATTTTAATATATGCATATGTAAGATCTGAATAAAACTATTACACTGCACTGGAGTGGAGTTTTTATGATAAAATAACTACTGGAGAAGGTCATAAAGGTAAAATCTGGATAATCTTATTAAAGTCACATGTTCAAAATATTTCAGAAAAGCAACTTTAGGTGTACACAAGTAAATCTGATGTCATTGGAGCAAATGATAATGTTAGTTTGATATTTATTGATTGTTTTTAAAACATTTAAAATAAAATATTTATTTTCACTATCTCTTTTGAATGTGGAATTTTTTAAGAGTTACGTTACCTTTTTATGCACTATGTATTTCTTATTTCTGGTTAAATTTTTTTAAACTTTAAATTTGGTTTTGATTTTATATTTTTCATGTATATTTACTATAGCATGTTAAGGTTTATTTATATTGTCATTATTTGGTTTTGATTTTATATTTTTCATGTATATTTACTATAGCATGTTAAGGTTTATTTATATTGTCATTATTTGGTTTTGATTT